ATTACACCAACCATTGATAAATCACGGCCGGGAGCGTCATAGTTTTGTGTTATCGGGCGAGAGCCGGGGCCTGGGCGTAGCGACCAAGCGAGATTTCGCAATGTTGAATGCTGAAATTATGCATTCTACAAAATCCCTAAGCCCAATATATACGTTCTTTACGCTATATTTCTTTCTAGCTATATTTCTAAATTTCCTGGGAGACGTTTCCCCATATCGGGCACAGGATTGCAGCCCCTGTCCATGATTACTACCAACATGAGTTCAAATACAAGCACAAGCGAGTCGATATGAGCTGAATCCAAATGAAGGGCAAAATAAGAGTTGTGAGGCGGCCCTACCGTTAATTTAAAATTTGACTGTTGAGTATATAACTTCTATTTAAAAGACATCCTAAATATTGTGCCCTTTTCAAATTTATCACTAAAGAGTGATGACCGCAGGGGCTGTTCTTAACGTTTAACTTTGAATCCGCGGCTCGAGATTTTATGAGGCCGGCCCGGCCTCCCTCTATTCAATAACGTTTGCCAAGCCTTCTGGAATGACCCCTAATCTCCCGATTACAGTTTCCCCATATTTGTCGTTACTGTCACTTAGCGCCATTTCCTTGTCTTTCCCCCTTTCTCACCGACTTTTCTTTCCCCCCCCCCCCCCCCCCCCCCCCACCCACTAAGTGTTATCTAGGGTACGCACACGTATGTTCCTCTCTTTGAGGGCACCCCTCTATCTCCGGTGTGTAAAGTCAGTACGGGCCGGATTTTGTGTATTGCGGGCCGGACTTTGTTTCGTGAAAAGTAACTCTTAATCGGAAATTTAGGGAACACAAATTGGGTCCCTCCGACCCCGGAGTTGGAGGGAGGGGGGGGGGGTGGCTTTTTCTTTATCTTTTCTCTTCTCTTTTCTTTTCTCTTCTTTTTCCTTTCTCTTCTCCTTTCTTTTCTCTTCTTTTCTTCCTCTTTTTTTTCCTCCTTTTTTTGAGCCGCCAATAGGGGGGCCGCGGCCGTTTCGCCCCCCCCCCTGGATCCGCCACTGAAGTGTTAGTTCCTCAGATGCTGCTTTACAATATAACATGAACAAATTATGCTAAGAAAATCAATAAAAATAAAAAATATGAAGCTGAGAAGTTATAGATTTTTTTTTTTAATGGGGGGGGGGGGAGAGAGAGAAATAACAGAGAGGAAAAAAATGGAGGAAAATAGTAGAAAATAGTAGACGGACAAGGGAGTTTCAATCTTATATACACCTTGTTTGATTTGTTTATTGTAATTATTTTTTTGCATTGTTTTTCTTCTGTGCATTTCGTTATAGAAAAGTAATTGGATTTAATAATCAGCCGGGAAAAGAAAACGTTTTACTGAAACTAAAAGTGATTTGCAAATTCTAATTAGAAGAAGAAAAAAAGAAAGAAAAATGGCCTTTCCCAAGATTGAAACTCCCTCGTCCGTTTAATAGCCAACATGAGAGAAAAATATTGAGTAGAATTCTGACTAAAATGCAGATATGACTAAGTATATTTGCTCACTTTTGTCAGAGACAATGAAACAAAAAGTTCATGCAGGTTTCTTTTTCTGTAGTTTTCTTCCCACGTTAACGCACAATGGATTGATGGCCTTTCAGCAACAAAGGGTTCACACCCAGATGTAAATATTATCGTGTATTTTTGTTTTTCCACCATTGAACGTGTGAAGGGACGCGGTTATTGTACATGGTGTTATGACGCAAACCCGCAGACACTCGGACTCGGCTACATGCATGCATGCATATTAAGTCATTTTTTCAACCCCATATAATGCTGGCTACCCCCCCCCCCCCCTCCGACACACACTAAAATTCTAGTTATGTACTTGTGGGTTGCTTTTTTCTGTGTTTTTCTTCCCACGTTCACGCACAATGGATTGATGGCCTTCCAACAACAAAGGGTTCACACCCAGATGTTTATATTATCACGTAACTTGGTTTTTTCACCATTCAACGTGTGAAGAAAGGCGCGGTTATTGTACATGGTGTTATGACGCAAACCATCAGTTAGTCTTTTACAAAATACACCCCCCCCCTCTCCGAAATGCTCTATTAGACTTCCAACTGTGTCTTTTAGGTCTTGTCCTAGATCGTGTACTTTTTTAATTTATCAAGATACAAATCTGAAACATAACAAATCATAAACATAAGAAGTACTGCATAAGAAATACAAACAATAGAAACATAGGAATTAATAAAACAATAAAGTACACAAGAATTGAAATGAAATTTGAATTTTGTTCAATTCAATATTGTCGACTATGCTACTCAGAAACTTTGTCTTTGAAAAGATTGACCTTCATAGCTCATTTTAAATTTGAATACTAAATATACATGTAAAAATAGGCATTTAATTTGCATAAATCTTGAGTTGTAAATATGCGATTTTTGAAAGTAAATTTTGGCATATTAAACCCTGAAAAAAAACTGATTTTAAAAATCACCATGGATCATAATTTTTCTTTCCATTTCATTTATCTTCCTCTCTTTTGCATCCCTCCCCCTTATTAAGTCTTGCACCCCTTCGGGTGAAGCCCTGGGCGTAACCCTACCCTGGAGATACGTCACTGATTGTATATTTAGCAGACAAGCATACAAACATTATAATCAAATAATGTATTTTGATGTGCCATATCAAGAACTTTTTGTTTTAATGCACGTTACCTGTGGCCATTCTTCATTCTGGTTGCAATCCAACCTTCATATAAAAGGTGATGTGCAGTTTATACTTAGAATAAAAAACAAACAATCTGTACAATCAAATAATTTGTATGTTCATGTTAAACTTATTAAAAACTGTTCGTTTTAATGGACAGTACCCGTGGTCATTCTAGTTGCGATCCACCTTTCATTTCAGATTTTGGTCTAAACAAAATTTTGAACTTATTGACAAATGTAACTGTTCACGCTAAGTTACAGAAAAGTAGTTGCATTCATCAACTTGGAGGCGCCAACTAATTTTAGATTTCGATTTCGACAAAATTTGCTGAACTAAAAAAAAGTTCAAATTTCAAATATTATCTCAACTGCAATTCAAGACCACAATGCTTAATCAAAATTTAAAAGTCAAATATTTTCCAAACTAGAGAAAATAACTCACTGTACTCCAGAAATTTGGTAAAAGCCTCAAAAGAAAGCGTACAATGTAAAGCCACTTCGTTTAAGAAGAAGAATAAAGCAGACTATTTTCATGGGTAAGAAATATCTCTTTCTAAATCAGTATATAACAATCAGATTCTTCCTTTTTCTCTTCTTCTCTTTTCTTTTCTCTTCTTTTTTCCTTTCTCTTCTCCTTTCTTTTCTCTTCTTTTCTTCCTCTTTTTTTTTCTTCCTTTTTTGAGCCGCCAATAGGGGGGGCCGCGGCCGTTTCGGCCCCCCCCCCCTGGATCCGCCACTGCAATCTGCCCATAATATTTATTATATGTAAATTATACCGAATAAAATAAGTCTCATGCACATCGTTTATTAGTGTCACAGATGGGTTGCTGTTACACTATATGGACAGATTGGTAAGATGCGTAAATTATTAAAAATTAAAATCAGTATACGATGCGAAAAGGATTCTTCTCCAGCTTCCGGAAACCAACCTGGGATTTGTGTTGTGTCCTGCAGGACGTAATCACTCACCTCTTTTGCATAATGTGTGCGTGAGATTTGGGTCTTTCGTATACGTGCCCCTTTTCATCTCCGATGAGTGCATGCCCTTATTAAAAATTGGGAGGTGCCCCCTTTAACTCTGTAATAAGTGCCCCTTTTCATCTTTGATTCGTGCCATTTTTCTTCTGAAAATTGCACTGTTTTCGTTGTCATAAGTGCCTATTTTCATCTCTGGTGAGTGCCCCTTATTAAATGCGAGGAGTGCCCATTTTTACCTCTGGTAATTCCCCTTTTTACTTTGACATGTGCTCTTTTTCATTTCAAATAAGTGTCATTTTTCCCTTTGGATATGTGCCCCTTTTCCTTTCCCCATAAAAGTGCTCCTAATTTAAATGGATTAAGAAGAACTTTTCTTTAATTTCACCCAAGTGTGGCTCGCTACACTCGCTCGTATTTAAAGTTGATATAATTATGGTTCATATTAAAGATCTTTTCAGTCTTTCATAATTAGATTGTGCTTAAAACCCCATCAGGATTTTTTTTTCTTCTTTATAAGATGTAATTTTTTTCACTGCGACCTCACAAATCCAATTTTTTGCTCGCTCGCTTCGCTCGCTCGCAAAAATTATTCTTACCATCACAAAACAACTACAAAGTAAATGTGTGATGCTTGAACAGTATGGACCTTGTTAAGAGAGAAACAGACATTGAAATCATCCCTGTAATCACATTGTAGGTGTATAGACCAATGTCTAAAAAAACTGTAAATTTTCGCTTTGAGGTTTCCCTTAGTAGGTCCCTACGCCAATTTACGCTACGCTCTACCTATTCATAAATACTTTAACCCCCCCCCCCTACTTTGAAAAACGTTCACCGGGGCCTGATGTGAGGTGTTTAAAGCTGCAGCCCGAATCAAGTTATTGCCGTCTGCCCATCACAACTGCTGACCTATTCTTGTACTGACGGATATTGAAATCAAGTGATACCCGAGGTATTAGGAATCTGTACCGTATCAATTGTGGTTGTCAACATTGTTGCAATTGAAGATCTTGTTCAGAAACGAAATAAAAAAGGATAAAAGATATACTTAATGGACTCTTGATCTTGATGAGGGAATCATTGCTGTGTTTAGTTATACATATATCACTTACACCTAGAGGCAGTGGTGTACGCAGGATTTTTTCAAGGGGGGGGGGGGTTAACATTTTGAAATCGGGCCAAAATTTCGCAACGACTTAGCCAGCCGCTGAATGAGCGGGGGGGGGGGGGCGATGGTAATAGAGGACACTTTTTTTTTGGTCCAAAAAAAAATCGCAACGACTCAGCCGGCCGCTGAATAAGCGGCGAAGTGGGTGGGGGGGGGGGTGGTAAGAGGACATTTAAAAAAAAAGGGGGGGGCTTTGTTCTAAAATACACACAGAAAAAAAAAATAAAGAGGGGGTTTAACCCCCACCCCCCCCCCCCCCCCCCCCCCCTGCGTACGCGCCTGCCTAGAGGTACCGGTGCCATGAATACCAGTGTCCTAAAGACTTTTTGTCACAACGGGGTACTATGCAGACTGCACACATAGTCCCACTTTTTGTGTTTAAAGTCTTTTTCTCCTATCATAAATTTATGCTGGAAAAAATCACAGATTTTAAATGATACCCTGGCAAAAAGTATACACCAAATCGCACAAATTGAGTTTACAAATTCGATTATTCTTCAGCTCTTCAGGGGGACACCCCCCCCCCCTCAGACTCCGCCTGTCCGCGCAAGCGCGGAACGCGGCGCTGACGCGCCGCTCAATATTTTCTCACAAATTGGGCCCCCCCCTCGACGCCGGCTGGATCCGCCCCTGACTCTACCTACCTTAACGGGGAAATTAAACAAATATATAACTCTCTCTCTGGTCCACAATTGCAAAAACGCACGGATACTATTGGAAAAATTAGTTAGAGATGTTTTATACTAGAAGAGACCCCTGTCAGTGCCGCCAAATCATTAATAACAACAACAACAACAACCCCCCCCCCCCCAAAAAAAAAAACAGCAACAGCAAAAACAACAAGAGTACACATAACAACAACATCAACAACAACAACAATAATAATACTACAAATGATTATAGTAGTTACAATAACAATAACAACAATGACACTGATGATAATAATTATCATTAAAATAATAATAAAAATAATAACGATAATGATAATAATGATACTTCTACTAATACATCTATTACTATTACTACTACTACTACTACTTATACTGTTTCTTATAATGATTAAGATAATAATATGAATAATGATAATAATAATAATAATAATAATAATAATAATAATAATAATAATAATAATAATAATAATAATAATAATAATAATAATAATAGTAATAATAATAATAATAATAATAATGACAATAATAATATTAATAACAATGACGAAAATTATTTGAAACAGAAATACGTACCTGATAGATAAAAGAAAGCCACACATATCAAGGTATTTAAAAAGTACCCTGACATCTTGATAACGACTTGTCCTTGTTTCGATAAAATTAACTTGATTTCTAAAGTAAACAACTCCTGCAAATGCGAGAGCAAAATACATGCCGCGTCTAAACTGACGAGAAATATGTTGTAATCCACTTTTAGGGTAAAGGAAAATACCTTACTACTACGACTCAAATCCACCTTAAATGAAGAAGTAAACTTAGTTCATTTGGTGAAATTCGATCAAAACATGAAATTAAAACGCTTGGTGATTAAAAGTCTCAATATCAATTTTAATAGGCCTAATGAGACAAAGAAATTAACCAAGTAAAGTCCTGAGGCCTTTGTCAGTTTTATATTTCTTTGTTTCTCTAGCTTATTACGCTCTAGCACTTAGGTTGATGTACCAAGTGATACCAGTCGATGTATAGTAGACCAGTATCGGATCTAATTTCATAATTAACCAAATGGTCATATAAAGCTGTAAAATGTCATTAATTATGATGACTGCGCGCATTAAGTTACGTTTATAAGCTTTCGGTTGTGTTCTGTGGTTGCCTCTGAAGGAAAGATTATTGGTAATCTATTCTGTGCCACCAATTTTATTATTTCAATTTATTAAATAATTGTTAGCCGTTAGCATAATATAAATGAGCTGTATAATGGTCTATTATGTTTATATAAGAACGCATTTCACAATGCTTCAAGAGATTATATTTTAAGACACATGCATGTACCTAAGCAAGTACATGTTATGTTAGGAGCTCATGGTATTCCAAAACTATAAATGATTTGAGCATATGTATTCAATACAAAAAACGAGGAAGTCGGTGTGTACGCTATATATGCTCCACAGCGACTGTTAGATTAGGATACCTCAAGATATGCCCTTTTCCACCGAATAATAAAGATATCCATTGTTGCAGATCGACATTACGAAAAATCCTCGCAAAAATTGCACTTTGCAAAATAAGATGCAAAATAACTTTATCTCGCTCCAAATCTGAGAGCTTTAACATTTTATTATATATATATATGTGTATCTATAAATGACGGATGTCTGCCAAGATGGATATAATTTGATGACGTCATCACGGAATTATCGCCCAAACCCAGAATTGACCATGCATTATATATTAAAATGCATGACTTACAAACTTGAAGTACATTGTGTGTGGATTGTGTCAAACTGACCCCCCATGAAATGCCCTTTCGAACGATACCAAATACGGAATATGTTTGAAAAGAGTAAATCCAGGCGATAACGTCCTTGTTCTTAATGACACTTAAAAAACTACGATCATACATAAATACCGCAAAGAGTTGATATCAACATTTTCTTCTCTATGAAATATAGCATTGATTTGTTTTTGGTAATAAACAAAAGAAATGCAGATAAAAAATAATCCGAGATAGCAGAGGGCGATTGGGTTCCATATTCTCTGAAACATTGGCCTCATATGGAAAACCATCTGGGGCCCTAAGGCGATTGATGCATCAGCTGATGAATACAATACCAGTCAAGAGCCGCCAAGGGAAGACCAAGGGCCGCAAACCAGAGCAGAATATAGGCAGACAACAATACCTGGAGAAGGAATATTGCTAAGGCTACTTTTTTTTTTAAATTGCGAATTCTACAAGGAAAGCTTATGTTAGGCCTGAAAATAGCGAATAAAGACAAGTAGGAAATGTTGATATCAACTCTTTGCGGTATTTATATATGATCGTAGTATTTTTCTCAGCTCTTGACGTCGTTTAGCAGGTCCTACTGTCCCTACAACGATTGCAGTCACTTGGTGGGTCTTGGACTGCTGGCTGCTCCTGAAGCATTTGGGCTGCTCTCGGTCGCTTTTAGTGACTGACGAATTAAAGATGCAATGAACTAATATATGATGTGATGGTAATTTATTTTCCATTTATGTCATCTATATGAATTTGTTAACATGATCACATAAAATCATACAAAGAAAAGGGTTGTCATTAGCAGAGCTTGAACTGCCGATATGGCATAGTCCAATCTCTTTCCATGTTATAGTAATCCCAAGTTTTCCTGCCCTCATTTTTATCAATAATTTACGACCATATCTTTTTTCCAATATCATTATCATAATAAATACTTGTTCGAAGGACAAGTACGTGATAATTTGTTTCTATTACCTTTAACAGGTGTGCGTGTGGAAATTGTCGCTCCGCGACTTCAACAAATTAGTTACACCCGTATAAATTACAATGTAAATTATGCTGCATGTATTCATGCTTAACATGTTTAAAAGAATGGATCATTTAAAGTCCAGCCAGATTATTCGGAACAAAATGAATGATTTTTTTTTTTTTTTTTTTTTTGGGGGGGGGGGATATTCCTTCATTAAACAGAATGATTCTTCAGGACTTTGTAAAAAGTTGTATGATGGGTGAGGGAGGGTTAGGGTGGGGGGACGGATGTCATGTATCCGGATGCTTAACTTTACAAACTTTGGGTTCAGTCTAAACTATACATCAAAGAGCACCATCATAAACATTTGTTGGAAGGTGGAATATATTTCATGCTTGCTAGCTTCTTCAAATTATTGCTTGAAATTTAACGAATCTGTCAGGACATAAATGTTTTGTTATGTCTCCCATGATGAGTGTATTGCGTAATCATTAATAGTAACGAGGCCAAATCTGGATTCTTTGGCCGGGGTAATAGGGTAAGGATTGGGAAATTGGATTCAAGCGTGAAGCAATAGAAAATGGTACACGGAAATATATACGGTACTGTAATCTGTACGACCGTAAACGATGTTGCATTAATACGCAAACAACCATTATTGTATTATACAGAATGTTTGCATTGCATGTCGATTGTCTCATGCATGATTAACGTTGATATGATAATATAAGAATGACATGACTCAAACATTCTCGCGTGTTTTTCATAGTTTGTATATGCGTAGGCTGCCTGAGTGTTGACTACGTACACTGTTGCTCATAAAGTCGGAATACTAATTTCTTACCAATTTTCATTAAATGATCGTGTCAATATAATTTATTCTCGATAGAGAAATCTTCTCAAAGCTCCTATGAGCAAAGCTCTATTGATCAATCTTTATTGATGAAGTTTTGAGAAGATACACATGTTATCTATCATCTAATGAATCATGTATAGTCACACGCTTGTCATTGAAAGAGTGAAGAACAATTTATACAAACTGTATGCGCAACAGTATACACTAAAACGAATACTAAAACTGAAAGCAATGGCGCGTTCCCATTGGCCATTTTCACGTGATTCGTTTGTATGTCGTCTAGTGAAAACAGACTACATTTCCTTACATACGCACATTGTCCAATGTAACGCTCTGTTTTTTTCACGCTGTGTCAAGTATTTGGTATGAACTGCAAAATCTAAATAAAATGTACAATCACTGAATAGAGACATACATATGTAATGCTGATATTCGTCCTGCACTAGCTCTTCAAAGTAGAAATTCAATCTGGACTCACAGGCCCAATACTAGTACTATGATCACGGCAGTGTATCCAACTATCAAGCCTTTTGAAGTGAAATTTACTGCACATTGCTGGTACATTTTCATACCGAGTAGTCACTGAAGAGTGAAGCATGATAATGGCATTCGAGTCTCTCCGTATGGAAAAAGTGGGAAATTATGGCTTATTGAATTATCATTTTCCTATGAAATATAACATTGATGTGTATTCAAGTTTTTCACATGTATTTAACCAAATTTCCATATACCATACTGGCATGCCTATGATCCCTTTCCACATTATGATAATGATATGCCAATATATAGAATTCATGTGCAAATAATCTGTTGCTAAATTATTAACATAAATTGACCCAGATGTTTGACAAAGCCAGCAGAGGAGAAAGGCAGAGGAGAAAGTGAAAGGCGAAATGGGGTTGGATGGAGAGGGAGAG